ATACTATTGCTGCGTATCGACGGATGACTCCTATGATCGATAAACAAAACAGGAAGTAGGTAGATGGAGCAGTTATGAAACTGTTCGGTAGATGGGCCCAACATAGACACAGTGGGGTGACAGTGTGGGATACGATGTGGTCCGGCCAAGTAATAGGCGATAGAACGTATCTAAACGAATATAAACTAGTAGATATGATAAGGCATTTAAGGTCAGAGTGTTAGGAATTATTTAATAAGGTGTACCAAGAGTAGAATGTGAATAATGGGTAAGTGACTCCCAGAAGAGTGAAGTCCAGCCATGAATGGGCCGGAGTCCAGAGGCGCAGTCCAGCAAGTAGATCACCGGGTCCCGCCAACTCCAACCGACCAGTACATCGTCGGTTCTGGGAGTAATTGAGCGTCAACAACTCCTCCGCAGTAAGCTCCTGGCCTTAAGAAGGGGTTGGCCAGTGAGGCCAGACAGGAGGTGACCTTGAACAGAGGTTTTGACAACCTGGGGCGCGCACGGGATGGTGCACACAAGAGCCAGACACACGGGGGCATGTGAGCAAAGCATGGCTAGGAAATACAAGGTCGCTACAACAGTAAGGCCAGAGATCAACGGCGGTTACTGGTTTTCCATCCGACAGTACAGCGGAACATCGATTAACGAGTTTAAGCCAATCAAGTTCGTCATCCGAAACGCTCGTTTTGCGAAACGTAGCCAATCAAACTGCACCAGTTCAGTGATTGGCTGCAGGTGATCCAGGAGCCACGCCTTTGGAGAAAGACTCAACGGCGGACAAAGGTACACACAGACCCAGCTCGTAAATCGAAACAAATATTCTGCTAATGGCTCGCTCGCCTCCTGAAGTGCTCGTTAATGGAGCTGTTTGACATCCAAGGCTCCAATGCGCTTAATTTCCGTCCTCCCTTTGCGGTTTCTGGTGGCCCGCACCATCAGGTCACCGTAACGGACAATAACTGTGGAAAATGCCAGAAATCCGGAATTTTTTGACTTTTCTTCGCACATACATCAGACAATTTAAAGGGGCTGTAGAATGCCACGTCACAATCATTTTGAACACTCTATACCAGTTATTTAGGAATGTTTACCGATTGCTGACGGAACTAACTTGTCCCGATCTGTCTTGGGCCTCATTTATCGGACCCTGACAGCATCCATAGCAGGTAGCAGTATAGACAGATAGGATTGCTGATAAAGGCAAGGGAGACTGGAATGGCCCTTTCAGGCTTATTCGCCGTCGTTAGCTAGCCATACGCAAACCCAAGTGCGGCACTAATCGAGGTTCGTACTCGCGGCCTTTGGAGAGTTAATCTCTGATTAAAAAGGTCGTGAGTTCAAGCGTCTGGTGGTGCACTACTTTGGGGATGGGTATGACTGGCTGACGACGGCTATTAAACCAGAAATAGCAATACTAGCTGCCAGGTTCAACGCGAGGCCTAAGGATGTCGACGTACTCGGAAGCAGGACTCGTCACTGTTTCGCGGCGTGTGGACGCATAGTTAGTTGGTCTTCGGCCACGGGATTCTTAGTGTCTGTAAAAACGCCTTCTGCGAGCATAAAATAGAATTAGTTAGCCACATGGTGACCACCAGCTTGGCTTAACGGAGGCGTGGTAAAGTCAATGTCTAGCGCGATTTTAGCTCACTTGGTTGACACAGTCATCGGGTAAACGTCAACCAAGCGCTTTGAGTAATTGGCAAAGCGCCAACGAATCTTTCCAAGTTC